GTGTATAACTAAGAGAACGGGAAAGTTGGACAAACTCGACTTTCCCCACCAGAACTCACCCTGCTTCGTCAAAGGAATGAAAGGATGCTAAATTAAAACTAATGTCTTAAGCTATGGTAGAAACTAAGGAGCGATGAATCACGATGAAAAGCAATCTCAGTGCCTGGTATTGCGCCGGACCAGTCTTCCCGTTGTTCCCATCACACTGTCTCCTTGCTGCTAAAAGATTGCATTAAATAGCAATATTGCACTGTCCATCCCAGATCTCTTTAAATACTCCTGTTCGGCACTTGATGAAAAGCTTACAAATACCACTCAATTCATTGTCAGTTCTTTTTAATACCATAAAGCCAGGAAGCTTTTGGAAGGCTATTATTATGATGGCTATTATAACGTGTTACCAGGGCTTGAATTTGGACCGAGACAGGAAATGCAATACGATAGTTTCTTATGTTAAAATAAACTATAGATAGGAAAGAACTGAACAGAAAAATCAAAGCATGTGCAATCCAGTATTTCCTATCAAATGCTGGTTAAAATAGAAGGACATAGTGTAACTTGAAAACTAGTTTTGCATTTATTATACACATAGTTAATCCTCCTTTTTTCCCCCTCTTAATGACCAGGGACTAGCGACCAGAACTTCCTTTGGCTTCCAATTTTAAGCAAAGAATGAAGGGATCTGTGAACCAACAGTTGGCAGACCCTGTTAACAAGGAAATAATGTTTTTCACCAAAAGTCTCACCTACAGGTTTTGACTGTTTTTGTTTTTTTTTCTAATTCATGTTTAGTGAAGAACAAATTGGACTGACATGCTAAGAACTGTTCCAATCACCCACATATACTTGGGATGTTTAATTAAGTGGCGCGCTTAATATGCAAACCCAACATATTCAGAAATGTTCCAGTTGAACTAGACTGTTAAAAGATGGTGGGCTTTTTATGGCAAATAAAAATTGGGGGCCATTTTCATAACTCTTACAATAACTTTAGATTCATTTGAAGTGAGCCGTGATCTTCTCTTAATAACTTTTTGACCCCTTCAATGAGGTACATTCAGAAGTTTAATAGAAGCACATTTGTAATTTTTTTTTAATCTAAAGTCATCCTCTAACTGCTGTAGGATACTATCTAAATACTTTAAACTTTTTACCATTTTGACTCATTTCAGGACAGTTGCAGAAGTTTTCCTCTCTCTTTTCAGAATACATAGCTTTATGTCCATTTACCCATTACTTCTTAGCATACAGAGCAAACACATCAGGTTTATGCTTAATTCATCTAACGAGAAAGTAAATGAGGGCAAATGAAACCCTTACTGGGAGGGGCGCCTGGGTGGCTCAGTCATTAAGGGTCTGCCTTCGGCTCAGGTCATGATCCCAGGGTCCTGGGATCGAGCCCCGCATCGGACTCCCTGCTCCATGGGAAGCCTGCTTCTCCCTCTCCTACTCCCCCTGCTTGTGTTCCCTCTCTTGCTATGTCTCTGTCTGTCAAATAAATAAATAAAATCTTAAAAAGAAAGAAAGAAAGAAACCCTTACTGGGTGCATCGCTGTGGGGAATTTTGGATCAGTCAGTACAGTAACACCAAGAGAGAAAAAGAAATCTCCCAACCAAAGTTGACTTCATTCCCTGTCTTCACTTTTGAAGATTTTAATTGATAGACTATAGTTTTCACTAGGATACCCATTCAGAACCAGCTATTTCTTCCATTTGGTGACTGTGTAATGCATCACACCCTCTTAAGACCTACCAGACTTTTATTTGCCTTCTCACCAGAAAATAGCTTCTCTCACATATCTAAGTTGTGGTCCCTCATTAGAATATTTGCATGAACAAAATGATATACCTAGTGGAAAATATTTTCTTAAGCTTAACGCTGGGCTTACTAAGGTTTATATGTTTCAGAAATTTCTCCATATATTTTCAAATAGATGCTGGTCTTACCTGTTTAAATACTGATAAAGTAGCATGATCTGCAAAAAAATTTCTTATGTACTCAGTTAATCTCTACCCATCTTTGTCAGGGAATTCTAACAGTAGTTTGGAATAGCAAAGAAATGCATTGAGATTGTAACAAAAGTGATAAAGGAGGAGCAAAGGAAATGTGTCACAAAGTGAGTTGCTTAAAATGGAGAAGTTTTGCATTTTGAAAATTATCTAAACAAGGCAAGTGGAGCTGCCTACATATAACATATAACTGATATTTGTTGCAGGAAAATCTAGTTTTCTATTTATTAAAATAATTTAAATGTTTTAGTAGCCTCAAACATTCCACTTGGGATGAGCTTATGTATGTGGATTTAGAGATGATAGTATTGGCTTCTTTGTAGTGTTAGAAATCCCTCAGAAGTGCATCTGTGTATTCCTACATATAGAATTAATTTTGATTTGCGTTTCCGTACATAGCTTTGGAGGTAGAGTGTTCAATTATGTGTGAGTTGGCTTGTCTTTCTACCTATCTTTGCACACATGTTTGTCAGTTTTAGATGACGGTGTTCTAGAAGGAAAGACAGAATCTGCTTAAAACTTGAAGAACACCACAAATATGTGATACATATGATTTGAGGAGGATGTGATGGTTATTTATGTCATAAAGTTTTAATTATAAGGGAAATACAAACCATTTTAAAAGTAAAAACTAACCTAACCATAGTAAAAGGGCTAATGGACTCGAAAATGCAAAGGTACAATTCTTGCTTAAATTCGCTTATACACCAAATCAGTCACAGTTGCCACAAGCTATAGAGTCATATAATTTGTATAAGCTGAAATCTAGCTGTAAACTTGCAGTGTATTATGATAGGCATCCATTCATAAAACTTCTTAAAAAGTACATTTGTTAGGATTCACGTATAACAAGTACTTGTAGATATAAAGATATAAAGGTAATTAAGTGAAAGCTCTCCATATGCTAAAAAGTAATTAGGGGCTTAGATGAGGGAAGTGTGGCAAGTTTTTATCACATGATAGACTTTACAGAAGGTATGTATCTGTGTGTATGTTTATCTCTGTGTATGTATTTGGCTGTCTACATATATGTAATATCTGCCTCTCTCTCTCTCTCTCTCTCTCTATATATATATATATATATATATATGTAGTATCTGTCTGTCTTTCTGTGTATCTGGATTGGCAGCCTTTTTAAAGGTTAACATTTCTGTCTTACCTTGTCTCTTCATTTTGGTTTGATTCCCCATTATTTGGAGATACTATGAGGTAAATAATTGGCGGAAGAAAAGGCATTTTTGTGACAGATTAATTTTAAAACTGCTTGTTCTAACCATTCTATTTGTTTATCAAGGCCCAAACAATTAAGTAAACTAACCACTCAATTTTTAAACAACTAAACACTTGGGCAACGCATTGGGTCAATTTTATGGCACGCACTTCAGAATGCCTTTTATTATGATAAATTCAAATGCAGTCACCTATAGGTATGTCAGTATGTTCTAAAAAAAAAAATCTAGAAATACTTGTGAAAATCACTGCGTTTTTTTTTTCCTGTCATAATGTGATTCTTCGTGTTATAAAACTAGATCTAATCAATCCATATTTTAAGATATCAGCATGGGATAGAAAAGACAAAGTTATTTCTTAGTATTAATTATAAGTTTTGTTTGTTTGAGGCGGGGGAGATTTATCCACCCTGGATTTCCTTTATTTTGTTCTCTCCACACTTCTTTTTCATTAGCAGTTTCTCCTTTCTTCATAACATGAAGTGCCAGAAAAGTTTTTAACTGTGTGAAAATGACTCTTAAAATAGTGAACCATGTCTACTAATCTTTTCCTGTTTTCCAAGACACAGTGTTGTCCCATGGATTTGTTCTTAAGCAGTATTTATATAAACACTTGCTTTTATTTACAGTAAAAGTGGATTGTTTTTTCTAGGAAAGAAAATGATTGCTTTTTCAAAGGTTGCAAACTTGGCAAGTTGACATGTTGTTTGATTACATGCTCGTTGGTATGAGCAGTGCCTTCAACATAGCACAGCTGTGGCGGGGTGAGCCTCTACCTCAGGCTCCCCTGCCTCCAAGGTTCTCCTGCTCACCTCTCCTGCCATTCTCTTTTCTAGGACTTTTTTCCCCTGGCTCTTTCTCACCCTGTATTTCTCTTGCCTCTCCTTTCTCCTCTCTTTTTTTCTCTCCCACCTTATTTGCTTTTCCTTTTGACTCTGTAATTCTCAGAACCTTGAAAAGAAAGAAAATTTTAAGTAAAATACTTTTTTTTTTCAGTTTAATGAATAACCTTTGAAATAATCTTTCAATTTCCAGACTCCCTGGTATAAGTCTAGTTAGCCTGAAATAAGAAAATGTTTAAAGAAGAATACTTGACTTAGGATTCCTTCTTTGAGAGGACCTGTCTAGGTGGCTATTTTCTGGATATACATTTGTATATATATCCTATATGAGTTGCTACATGTACTCATGAAGTAATATGTATTACTATATGCATTTTTCTAGTACTTATATATTTTATATCTATCCGTAAAATTTGAAGATAGTGATGATGTTTTATGCGTAAGTACTTTCTATATACATTCTCTTTACTAACTTTGATAACAGATACTTATATGCATATTTTTCTAATTGTTTAATCTTTATAGTTTATTTTAATCAGAACTTTAAACCATTTCAAAAGGCTTTATATTGATAGCACTGTGACACTGGCGAGATGGTCGATGATCAAGTATTGAGAACACTGACATGTAGTTGTTTATTTTTAACTCTGCTAGTCAAAGCTCCGCCATCTTAGCATAATACGTAGGAGGTAAGGGACATAAAGGTAGAATCCGATGAAATCTGATGCCTCTGGAAGGCCAGTATCTAAGTACTGTGGTACTCTAATATTCTTACCAAATAGTTAAGTAATATGACAAATAGCATGTACAAGTTGGCCGTCGTCATTTCTGAAGAATTTGTAAGAGAGGCCCTATAGCTGTGAAGCAGGTGAGCAGATGTTTGGTTATGACCGCCGCTTCTCTTTCTGTCTCTGTCCAGGTACCTGTGTCGGTGGCCATGATGACGCCCCAGGTGATCACCCCTCAGCAAATGCAGCAGATTCTTCAGCAGCAAGTCCTGTCTCCTCAGCAGCTCCAAGCCCTTCTCCAGCAGCAGCAGGCTGTCATGCTGCAGCAGGTAATGTGGGTTACCTGCTTTGGTGTTCTAGCCTGGCGCAGAAGGCGTGCGCCTATGTCGGCAGCGCCAGGATCTATGTGACAGTCATTCTGCGCTCGAAGGGACCACTGATCAGCATGCCAGAACATACATGTAGCATTGTAAGTGCAGAACTATGTAAGAACATGTAGATCTTACATGTTCTTAGGCTTCTCCCGTTCATCAAGTCTAGAACGAGAGCCAAGAGGGGCGTAGCTTCAGCATGGGATAAATTAATACTGAAGTATCCGTACGCTTACTACATTTGATTTGTGGACGTGCCAACAAAAAGGGCAAAGGGGACGTACAGATACTTCTGGTCTTTAAGCCTCCTCACCGCTTCGGTGCTGCGTGTGAACTTTGAACTGGCCGTTTGGTCGCGGTGGGGAAAGTGCCACCCTCCGTCTTCTTTCCGAGCTGTGTTCGGTGTTTGGGCACAGGAAATAGCTTCTTATTATAAAAACGAAGTTAGGCAGCGAAGCCACTCACCCATGGAGGTCACCTTCTTTAAATAACACAACCCACGTTCCTCACGTGGGTTGATGAGGCGCCTCGAGGGTACGCGGACTTCACGGTGTTGGTCTCACTTGTCGGAGAGGAG